CTCGCCAGCACTGTGCCAGGCCCAGGAGCTACTACGTCTCGACCACCCATCCTCTGGGAGGTGCTGGCCCATCACCCAGCCCTCTCCACACCCTGGGTGCCACCACCTTCTCTTCTTCATAACCCGGCCCCTCTGCGATGCCTGGCCTTGGGGCTTACTCACTGCAGAAAACCATCTATTCCTGGGGACCCATCTGCCTCCCTGACTGCCCCGCCTGTCCCCCAATCCTGACCTCCCTGTGGCCACCACAGAGCTACAGCCTGCAGAGGGGCCCACCTGAGCACTCAGGTCCCTGCTGGGAGCACAGCCCCAGCCCCTCTCACCTTCTCTGCCCAGGTGCTCACCACCTTCAGACTATGGCAGAGGCTTCCTAATGAGCTGCAGTCACTGGACCCCCCAGCCCTTTGCCTGCCTGAACCCAGCAATCCCCACCTGTGTAAATCCCACTGTTCACACCCAACACCAGCCATCACGGGGTGGGAAATGGTGGGGAACTGCACTGCCTGGATCCCGACTGGGTCCTCATGAATACTTCCGGTCAATCGCCTACACACACCTGCCCTGGACCCTCCACCTCTTTGCATCAAACATCTTGAAAGTTACGGTTACTTTGACTCCTTCCCCTCACAATGCCCTCCCCCCACCCCTGCTGTGCCCACAGGAACAGCTCCCACCCCATCCCCACCAGGCAACCTGGCCACGTGGATCCCATCTCTCTCTAGCACCGCCCATTCAAGTAGCTTCTCTTCCTGACTTGTTTTCTCAATGGTCACTGAATCCAGTGGCCTCTGCAGTCTTCACAGCTCAGTGGACTTTTCTGGGGCATTTAATCACCTCCCACCTGGTTTTCTGGTCACTCTTCCCACCCATGCTCCCACATGAACTCTTCCTGCATCCCGTGACTCCCCAGCTCCCAGCAGCCAGATGGTTAAAACACAGGGTCAGTTAACCTACAGTTAAGCCTGTAATAATAGGCGGACATCTGATCTAATGCTTCTCTCTGACACCCCCGGCCCCCACCCAACTATGTTGCAGCCGAACCAATGGCTTAATCAAAAGCAATGAATGAGGCCAGGCAGGGTGGCTCAGGCTTGTAATCCCAGCACTTTGGGAGGCCAAGGCGGGAGGATGGCTTCAGGCCAGGAGTTTGAGACTAGCCTGGGCAACATAAGGAGACCCCCATTGCTACAAAAAATACAAAAATTAGGTGGACATGATGGTGTGTGCCTGCAGTCCCAGCTATTGGGGTGGCTGAGGTGGGAGGATTGCTTGAGCCCTCTGCACTCCAGCCTGGGCAACAGCGAGACCATGTCTCTCAAAAAAACAAAACAAGGAAAAAGCAATGAATGAAATAGCAGGATTAGTTAGGCTGTGGGGGGAATTTGAGGGGGTTGTGAAAATCATACCATATGCCACTATGAGGCTGGCCCTGCTGATGGGTAAAGTTGTGCTGTTGCTTCATTTTTCTGGTCATTTAACTCAGCTCTCTTCTGGCCTGATCGCACTAGCCTGTGCAATCAAAGATGGAAAAACTAGTTAAGCAGACTTGGATCTGAGAACTACAGGACAAACCAACTAAAGTGGAGGCAGCAAGTCACCAGCAGACACACACCCCAGGAAGGTGGGGGAGAGGCAAGCAGGCACCGGTGAGAAGGGCAGCACACTGCGGACGACTGGACTTCACAGGCAGACATCCTGGTGACGCACAGCCACCTTGCCAGCCCTCTGCCAGCTGGACCAGAACCAGCCGGTGCCCAGGAGGGAGGCACTCAAACTGCTACGTTTGGGGGCACACACTGCATACGCCATGCTCTCCATGGGCACAACACAGTTTTCACAATGGTGAACCTGGCTTCTGTAGGGCCGGAAACTTATTGAGTTGGGAGAAAGAAAAAGAATACAAATATGTAACTTCTGCAAATTTTACCAAAATGTATAACCATGTGACCATACTGTTAGAGCCCCTCCTATGGCCTTGGTAGGGGCCCCAGCAAGTGAGGGGCCTTGAACCTTCAACTTCATCGGCTTGGTGATAAATCCACAAAGCCCTACTGAGGCCAGTGGTGTCAGCTCTGTTATCCCCCCGCTATGGTCTGAATGTTTACGTCCCCCAAAATTCATATGTTGAAGTCCTTACCTCCAAGTGATGGCATTTAAAGACTGTACCTTTGAGAAGTGATTGGATAATGAGGGCAGAGCCCTCATGGATGGGATTAGTGCCCTTAAAAAAGAGGGCTGAGAGAGACCCCTCACCCCTTCCACCATGTGAGGTTACAAATGCGAAGACACTGCATCTATGAGGAAGCAGGATCTTGGACTTCCCAGCCTCCAGAACTGTAAGAAATAAAGACCTGTTTATAAGCCACCCAGTCTATGGTACTTTGTTACAGCAGCCCAAACTAAGCCAATCCCTGATACTCAGAAATTCCCGGTACCCAGCAGCTACTCAATAAAAGAGACACTAAAGAATGAGCTTCAGTCTTCATTCACTTCAGATAAATATTCTTTTATTTCCATACTCTTTGTGACATTTGCGGCACAGGTATTCAATCTCCCAGGGATGTTAAAACCCACACTAGGAGGGTTTTCCAGTGTGTTTAGGTTCTAAACTTTAGGAGATGCGGCTATGGGCACTCACAGACTAAGCCTGGGGGTCCTCGAGGGGAGCTACTCATCCACGTCACCTGCCAGGGTGGACGAGCCTCTGAGTGATGGGTGACCCCCACCAGGACCAGGGGAACCAGCAGGGACTCAATGGCACCACACAGTAGCCACCTGTTCCGACAATGTGAGAGAGGAGGAGCAGCCGAAGAGCTGCCTGGATTGTGCCAGAGCAACGGAAAGAAGTAACTGTGCTGCCCTAGGCCCACCTGGGCTGTCCTCTCCCAATGGCTACTGCGTCATCCTGACAGAAACTAAAACAGATGCCATGAGACCCTGAAAAATTGAGTTCTTTCAGAGACAGAAATTCTTAAAAATTAAAATGAATCCATAAAATTGTGTCTAGAAACTCTGTGCCTGGTGCCAATAAGCAGAAAAGTCAACAAAGAGAGTAAAAAATAAAACTTTAACACATTATTAAAAAGCAAAAATGGACTCACCTAACAATCACTACTGGTTTGTCCACCAGTGAGCCCAAAAGTGACTTAAAAGTGAAAACCATTATCAGAGATTAAGAAT